AATTATTGACCCTCTATGGAGTAGGTTCCGAAGGAATGGACCAATATTATCCATTCCGTGTCGGACCTAAATAAATATGATATAAATATTGCGACGTGCCAGGTTTGGACTATATCGACTACTTCCTCTGCTTTATGTGAGATGTGTGATAATTTTAAGAAAATGTTAAAATGTGCGTGAGGTTCCAGATAAAGTCGACAAAAGTAGTCTATTTTCATACTTCATCTAATACAGATAAAAATATTAGTATAGGCAATTTTATGCAAAATCATAAATTCTATATTCATTTCAGCTTTCCTGCAAAAACAGATATAGCAAATTGTAAAGAATTGCTGACTTGTTTCGCAAGTTATGACAGAAAAAAAGTAATGAAAATTTTGAGCCCTTGTGGGTGAGGTACCAGTAGGGCTTCACAGATTTATACCATCTTCCCAACCGATCATGTGTTAGGAAAAATGTTTGAATGTGTGAAATTTGAGGAGAGTCGGTTTAGTTTTTCAAAATCTTTAAGCCAATAGGGGGAGGTACCAAAAGAAATGGTCCAATGCCTCCCATCTTTATAACAGATCTCGTGTTGGTGGAAATATTGAGATGTAGCAAGTCTGAATGAAATCGATCTTAATTTTGGTTTTATGGGCGCCATTGATATTCAAATTGTTGACTCATTAATTGGAAGGTATCAGAAGGAGAGGACCGATTTATCCCATCTTCATAATAAATCTCTTGTTAGTAAAAATATTTGGATGTGTGAAATATGAAGAGAACCTGATGCTTGTTTCGGATTTTATGATCGTTTTGGCTAGTCAATTTTTTAACCCTTTGTGGGGGAGGTACCAGAAGGAATGATCCGATTTCCACCATCTTCATAACAAATCTTGTACTGATGGAAATATTGATATGTGTCAAATCTGAATGGAATCGGATGACAATTTCGTGTTTTATGAGCTTCATGAAAATTAAAAATTTTGGCCCTTAGTGAGGGAGGTACTAGAAAGAGTGAAGCGATATATCCCATCTTCACATCAGAGGTTGATCTTATAAAAATATTGTGATGTGTGTAATTTAAAAACAATCGGACTCTTACATCACATTTTATAAGAGTTATAATTATTCAAAATTATGACCGCTTGTGGAGGAGGTACTTAATGGAGTGGACCAATATTGTCCATTTTCGCTCCTGACTTAGCACTGATGCAAATATTACGATTATTTTTTATTCTATGTCGGAGAAAAATCGAATTATCCTTTGACATTATGTGGATGAGGTACCAGAAGGAGTGGACCGATATTGCCCATCTCCGAACTCGATCTAACTTTTACAATAATATTACGATGTACCAAGTTTGGATAAAATCGGGAACTCTCTTCGAGTGTTATCATGCACACCAGCCAGATGTCCAGACGTATGGACATCGCTAGATCGACTCCAAATGTCCTGAAACGAATTGGTCAAAAGTCTAAACCGTTATTTCAATGAGGCACGTTTTGACCGTATCAAATGATATATACCCTCTCTAGTCATATGGCTGAGGTTATAAATATATAGGCTTATTTTGTCATGCTAGTTTTATGAATCCTTTTGTTTGTAGAGATGTTCGCAAAATATTTAAAGGATCAAGTGGACGGAAATTCTTTTTACCACTTAAAGATACTTACCGCTAATCGCAAACACTGTAAAAGGCCATTGTCGTATATAGTCTGATATCGGAGATAAAGCAAAATATACATAGGAATCTAGATTTGTAAGTACTGTATTCAGTATCTCAGTATCCATTAATATGACAGCGACTTGTACTTTGAATACCCTCGAACATTTGGAACGAATTTGGCAAATTTTCAAAGAAATAAAATCCTTTAAAAATTTTGCATGGGCCATTTTCAATACTGTCTTGCAGACATAATACATTTGAGTAAAATTTTATCAACATACTTAATTTCGTTCGGAAGCTAGAGTGATTTCAACAGACGGACGGACATTGCTAAATCGACATAGAATTTTATGCTGATCAAGAATATAAATACTTTATGGGGTCTAAAATGTATATTTCGAGGTGTTGTAAACGGAATGACAAACTTAATATACCCTCCATATTATGGTGGAGGGAATGAAAATAGAGAATTAACCTTAATTTTTCGAATTATTTTTTTTCGGTAACATAATTATGCATCCTTGTGCCTTGAGAGATTTGTTTCTTCAATTCCAATTACATCACATCTACAGAACCTACCACACCCAATTCATAACATTTTCAAGATCACACAATTTCGAACCCCAATATTTCACCTCCTCTTTTACGTTTTGCTTCATTTATCCCTTTCTTCATTTCATTCCTTCATTTATCCCATTTTTCCACCTGTATTACCCAAAAATATTTTTCAATTTTTTTTTGTGTTTTTGGGGTTTTCTTTCAAAAGAGTTTTTGCTTTATTTTTTCTGGTAAATAAATTTTTGTTTTTTATTTCTTTGGCTTATCTTACATTAATTTCATTTTCTCTTCATTCCATTAACTAAAAAAAATATTTCTACATACATACAATTTTATTATAAATATTAAATATATATAGATAGAGATAAGGTATAATATAAATTTAGATATGTATATATAATTTGCTTTAATAAATTTTATTTAATTTGTATACTTAACAATTATATAAACAAACATTTCTTTTTATCATAATAATTATAATAATTATTAATATTTTTTGTTATATAGAAAATGTAATGTACAACGATTTATGTTTTGTATTTTAGAAATAAATTGGTTGTGTTGTGTTTTTGCTTTTTTAAGTACAGTAATGTTGTTATGATGAGAGTTTTCACAAGAGAAGTTGAGTTGAGAGAAAGTGAAGGGAGAGAAGTTTGGTTCTTTGCTCAGCTGAGCGCAAATGCAAAGAGATGGGCATTGTCAACTCTGAGTAGTAAACAGGGATTACAAAATCGACTTTTATTTGTAGACTTAAATTGATTTTCAAATAGGGATGTTTCAATTTGGTTGTTGAAAAATAATTAACATAAGTTAGTCTACGATTGCTTTCAATAAGATTGCATCGTTTCGACAGAATTCTTCTAGAATTAAAAAATATAAAATTCATAACTTCAACAACATATGTTATCATTTTGCTGGGGTACATTTTTACCAATTTCAATGAAATTAAATAACGTTGGGCGCCATATTTTTTAACTGGGTGTTTAACAATAAAATATTGTGTTTGAAAATGGGAAGACCTCTCTGTGTTGGGCGCCATAATTAAAAGAATCATTCTACATAAATATTTATAAAGGGTAACTATGTGTTTTTTTTTTTTTTTTTTTTTTTTTGCAAAACCAAAATATGAAAAAAAAATGTATTTCATTTGGGCGCCAAACTATTCTCAAGTTCTTTGTTCATCTACGAAGAAGCCAGCCGATGACTTAAGCCAGTCAAATATGCGCTTTATGTATTTCCAGCCTTAGTCTTACGTTATATCATTAAAAATTAATATTCAGGCTGATCTTGAACTAAAGCACGAGAAGAATCTAAAAGAAACTGAATTTTTATTTTCCTGTTGCCTTTTCAAGAATTGTGCGGAAAATTCGAAGTAATGTGCATGTAGTTGATGTGTTAGTTTGGCCAATTAAATCTTGTTCTAGTTTCTTCCATCAAATGACAGATGTTTATTTAGAGCTGGCGTAACGAAAACGTTGGGCGCCAGATTGAAAAGAAACCAGCATTGTGCGCCAAATTTACATATTTTGTTTGAATTTTTCCAAATTTACCTTAACTAGGCCAATTTGTATACAATGAAATTAAATACAATTCGAAATTGTGGGAATTCCACCTTGGGCGCCAAATTGGATGTTTGTCAATTAGACCTCTGACTGATTTCCCTGTTAGATAAATTACACTCATGAGCTCGATCAAAATTACTATGGGTGCTAAATAAAAGGAACATTTTAGAGCCACACGTTGGGCGCCATATTAAAATTAGTAGATGTTGTCAACAATTAAAAGAATTATTTCCTTCAAGTGTTTTTCTAATTTCGTTCATTAAAATTCAACGGATAAGATGATATCATTAGACGCCGATTTTGAAATCAAATTTTTTATTTCCATTAAAATCTTTCAGCCCGTTGAAAATTACACGGTGAGCACCAAATTGGATTTAAATTAACCAAATTTCTTTAACATCCTTAAAGGCCGAAGCAAAAAACGTTATCTCTCAAAAAAAAAAAACGCGATCGAGAAAATTCACTACGTTGCTCTGTGAATTTAAAGTTGGACGCCCAATTCAAAAGAAATTGGAATTGGATTGGAATGGAATTGGGTCGGAGAACTATAACTATTCCGTGAAAAGAGCAAACTAAACTAGATTCCACTCGGCTTTGCCTTATTTCGTTCGTTTAGCTACTATGCTATGTAATTTTTACGGTACTTTGTTTTTTCATTATTTTTAAAAGACTTGGAGATACGTTGGGCGCCACATTGATTTACATTTCATGATTTTAGCGACAATATTCACCGGAATTGTTTCAAATTTGGATTTTGAAGTCCGAAATGGCTACTGCAGCCTAAGGCAGAAAATTGTCTGTGCAAGTCCACATTTTGGTATAGCCCCCATATAATAGTACCTCCCTATATTGATTTTAGCTACATTATTTACCGATTTTTTGAAAGTTTCGCATTTCAATATTGTTATGGCTTATAACAAAAGTTGCCTTTGCAGGTCCACGTCGTCGTTTAGACTCTAATATTACGGTTACATTTGGTATCTTTTAGATTTTAACAGAATTTTTACCGGATTTTATTTTTATTTTTTTTTTTTTATTTATTTATTTATTTATTTTTTTTTTTTTTTTTTGAAAATTGCAAAATTCGTTCCAAATGGTGGAGGGTATTCAAAGTTCGGCCCGGCCGAACTTACAGTTTGTTTGTTTTTTTTTTAATTTTATGTCCTTAGTTCTAACCATAAACAAATTTTTCATTATGTGACGCCCAACGCCGCAAAAATTAAATTCGACTTAATAAATTCCATATAGTTCAATAAATTTGAATACATGAAGTAGTGCTCAATAATGGAAGATGTGTGGATTTCCGAAAATATCCTGCCATTGTTTCGCTTTATAATTTGGCATTCATATGCCATACTGCAATGCCAAGCTGTTTATGTATCATGACTTTTAGTTAATTCTATCCATAAAATAACCTTTTATTATTTGGCGCCCAATGTTGGAAAATGGTATTCGCCATAATAAATTCCAGTTATGGGTCAGTAAAATTGATTGCATTAAGTGACGCCCAATATTGAGAGATGGATATGAAAACCAAAAGAATTTGAGTTTTTTGTCCTTCAAGATCTTTAAAAAAGTTGCTTGCTTTTGCCTCTCTGACGACCTTTTCTTGTGAAATTTCATCGGACTGATCAAAAATTCCATGTCCTTAGTTTGTTTCAACCATCGGAGGTATTAAGGCCAGTAAAGTTGACTTTATTAAATAAAATTCATCAAAATAAATCCCAATTCCTACGCAACATAATGTTAACTACAATAAGTGGCGCCCAATAGTAAAAGATGGATATGTAAACACCCATTTTTGGTTTTTCCGAAAAGGCTTCAAGTTCTGCAAATAAACTACTAGTTTTCATCTCGCTGACTTTTCCTATTTGTTAAATTTCATCAAGTTAAATAACATTTTAATGTTTTCTCAAAGAAATACCTCGCTTTCGCCTCTCTGATTTCCCTTCTTTTCAGAATTTTATCACATTGAGAAAAAGTTCAATTTCTCGTTTTTTTTTTTTTTCACAAATTTCATTCCCTCTCTTTTCTCAATTACATTAGGTGCTTCATTTTCTCACTTTTCTCCCAATAACCAACTCTTGTTTAAACTCCATGCAATAAAAAGCTCTCCGTGTGAGAGAACTTTGAAAGAGTGGGATTGAGTGTAAAGAGAATAGTTTTGTGTGGTGTAAATTTATGCTCAACATGGAAATTTCTAGAAGCATGGTTTAACTTCTTCGTCTTCTTCTTCGACTTCTTAAATATAACGGTTTTTTTGTACGTGCTTTTGCAGATATATATGTATGTATACATAAGTAAATAATAATAATATTTTGTATATAATAATTAATATTTTTTTCTTGTAAATATATAGATATATGTAAAAAAATGTGTATGATGTGTCTCTGTGTGGTACAAAAAAAAAATAATAAAAATGGATGGATATCTGGTATGGAGGAATGCCTCTGCTTCTTAAACGGTTATTGTTACGGTTCCTTTGCTATGTATTGTTGTATTGTGGTTATATATATTTTTTTGAGAATTTTTCTGTTTTCCTGAAACTTAAAAATTATTAACCCGCCCTATTTTTGAAAAAAAAAGCCACTAACAAAAATTCCTGGGCTACGCAAAAAAAAAGGTTTGGTTCTCACAGGCAAATAAGAGGACACATTTTCTGTCAATGTTCGAAGTCTGTGTTTGATCAGTGATAAGACAACCTTTCCATCATGAAACAGTTCCAACTTCTTTAGAATAGTTTATTTTAAAGCCATCAAACTTAAGAAAAATGTTGACGAAAGGTTTTTCTGGAAATTTGGGCTTTATTAAGGCAAAGCTCATTTGTTAATGGATATTTAAAAAATTTCTCTTTCGAGATTTTTTGATTTCCCATTTTTATAAAATTATATAAAACCTCATAGTCCCCTCTTTTGCCTGTGAGAACCTAACCTCAAATTCTTTAAAAAAATCATTAAATTAAAATATTGCCACGAGATTTAATTGTTAAACTAATCCCCCCCTACAAAAAAATATTGGTAAAAAATATTAAATTACATTACTTCTTCTTCGTCTTCTACTACTTTTCCTTTCCGTTTTTTTCTTTGTTACACAGTCTGCTTTGTTGGTTGATTCTATGAGGAGAGAAGGAGATGCTGAAAGCTATATTGTCTACCTGTCTGCCAGCCCGCCGTTGCGGCCGCATTCAGCTTCACAAGCCATGATCATTGGTATTGAGAAAACTTCGACACACCCGACTCACTTCGGGATTATTGTGATTGATCAGTTGCATGTAGATCTGTTTGTGTAGCTGCAGTTCATTGGTCATCTCTTGCAGTTGTCGCAGCAGCGTGTCCTTCTCTTTCAACAGGGTCTTGACACGTTCCTCCACCTCACGCGATCGTACCTTGGCCTTTTCACGGGATTTGCGTACGGCAATGTTGTTGCGTTCCCGCCGACGACGATACTCGTCGGTGCCCTTGTCCACATGTTTCATGGAGGCTTTGCGTTGATTTTGCATTTGTTTGCTGTGATGTTTGAGCAAGTGGGCGCCAGCAGCGAGATGGGGCAAGTTAACGGCAGAATGATGGGCCAACACATTGGCCGAGGTAAGAGTATTGAAATTGGAATTTTGTGATGAAGAATTGGAACTGGAATTGCCCCCGTTGCCGTTGACATTCTGATATGGATTGTAGAGGCCATTTGAAGCCCCACCGCCATTGGTGATGAAGGCGGCTGCGGCGGCATTATTAACGGCGGCATTTGTTTCCTGCAGATGGCGTCTATAGTCCGGATCAATGGGCTCCTCCTTGATGGTGGAGGTTTCCGAACCCACTGAGGAATTTTCATCACTGGAATTATTGCTGTACGCCGCACTGGAGTGTACCGCCTGCGGCATATAGGCCAAAGGATTACGCCCATAGGGATGTTGTTGGGTCCTCAACGATTGTTGTTGCAATTGATGCTGTTGCAAAACTTTGGCCGCTGCCGTTACCATGCCATTGGGCGGCAGCGTGGCCGACAATACACCCGGTGAGGTAACCATATCACTGAATATTCCCAAAGTTTCCTGATCACGAAACTGATCGTCGATCAAATGTTGCAAATCCAAGGAGATCTCTTGAGCGGTCAGTTCATCCAAATCGGACTGGACACATTGTTGGAGCATTTGTTTTTGCAGTAAATTCACATTGCCGTTGAGAGGGGAATTTTGATTGTTGTTGTTATTGTTGTTGTTGTTCATACCATGTTGTTGCATTTGATGTTGCATGGCATGTTGTTTGGCCACCAAACCTGCGGATGTGGAATTTGAACCCAAACCACCCAAAGTCTGTTGGATATTTGTGTTGTTGTTGTTGATATCCTGTTGTTGTTGTTGCTGCTGCTGGTGTTGTTGGCCGGAATTGTTTTGCGTGTTGTTATTGTTGTTGTTCTGCGAAGACATGGCCGTCAGGGTAATTTGCCCTATAATGGCCTGCTGGGGAGGCGGTTGCTTCTTCAGGTCCAACTGTGTTAGGGTCTGTACGGTATCGTACATTTGCGGCGATTCCATGTTGAGCATTTTGAATTGCGAAAAGGAAGGTAAAATTTTGAAGGAATTAATTTTGGAGAGATTTTTTGTTGTCACTTGGGGAGGTAGAAAAAAAACAGGAGAGTTGTTTTGGCGGGGAAGAGTTTTTTTATATCCTTTGTGTTGTTGTTGTTATATCCTTTTTGTTGCTGTTGTTTTAGATTTTTGTTTCCAAGGCCCCTAAACAATTTTAGGGCCAGCCTTTAAAGTTTTTGAATTTTAAGATTTTTGTAATTCTCATTAAAACAATGTTTTGAGGTTAGGTTCACAAATTTTTTTTTTAGAAATTTTCAAAATTTTCTCTATTTTTCTTGTCTTGCCTTATTTTCACTTTGTCACTCTTTCTTTTGTCTTTTCAATATTCCAAGAGCAGTTTATTATTTATTTGATTTAATTTTTTTATTTTTTTTTTAATTTTTAATTTAAATATCTTATCAAAATTATTTAAAAATGTTTATTTTGTTTTTTTTTTTAATTTTTATTAATAGGTTTTGAGTTCTAGTCCTTATTTTTCACAGTTTTTAATATTTTTATTTAAAAATTTTTCTTTTAAATATTTTTAAAACTTTTTCTATTTTTTATGATTTGTTGTTGATGTTCTGGAATATTTTTTGAAATATTCATGGTAATTTTTAATATTCTCCGAGCAGCAGTTCACAGAATATATCCGAGATATTGTGGTTTAATTTTTTTTTTTCAAAATTTCAACAGTTCTGTTTTTTGATTTTTTAGAATTATTTTCCAAATTCACAAATTTTATTTCAATTTAGTTTTCTTTTTTTCAAATAAATTTTTCGAGGTAACAATTCTTTGGATCCGTTGAAAGATTTTAAATTTTATCCTGGTATTCACAATTTTTCAAAAAGTTCCATCAGACACATCCGTTTCCGTTTCACATTTAAGCGGGCTTTTTTATTTCGTGTGATTGTTTTTTATTTCCGTAAAATTTCTTTTCAAATCTCTTTTAAATTTTATTTTTATTTTTTCAAAATATATATTTTTTTCTTAATCTCTTTTTTTATTTATTTAATTTTTTTTGTAAATTTATTTTAGCACTTAAAGCATATATAGGTAGATATTTGAAATTTGTTTTGTAGTATTCACCGTAGTGTCTGTCTCAATGCGACTGAAGTGTTTCACAAGTGATGCAACAGATTTTATATTATTTCGTCTTTTTTTCTTATGCGGATTGTACCACCACTGTGTCTTTGTGTGTGTGTGTTCGTATGTATGTCCGTGTGTTTGTGGTGTGTCTCTCTATTGCTTTCTGTTTTCTTCAAATTCGTTTTTCCACCTCCCGTTTACAAGAAGTGCGCGTCCGCATCCGTTAAAACTTTGGCCCATCTAATCGAGCGAACCAACTGAGCGAACGAGCGAGCGAGGACCGACCATGCCATACGACGAACCGAGCAATGAAGGCTTTGCAAGCGTATATCCAAGTGAGTGCACTTTCGTAAAGGTATTGTTGTTATTTCTTTTATTGCCGTTGTTGTTATTGTTACTGCGTTACACGCCGAAATTTATTTGGGCTCTTGTAGAAGCGCATTTAGACTACCGCAATGTTGGACTATCAAAGTATGAATGAATTATGCCTTCTTAGAGCTGGTGCTTTGAAGGCGTCCCCCGAAAACCAAAAAGAAACACAACAGCAGACAACCAAAAAACCCCAACAAGCGAGAAGAAACAAAAAATGTAATAAAAAATGACGTTGTCGTCCGTTGCTCACACTGCTGTGCTGTGCTGTAATAGCCAACGAAGATCGACGTCAGCGTCGTTGCCGGCGTCACAGGGCAACCAACGTTTTTTTTTTTTTTCACTTTAATTTTCTTGTAAACAATTCTCTTTGTTTTCCGTTTCTTTGCCATAACAATTCTCTGGCAACAACAGAGAGCAAGAAATGCTGCAGAGACCAAGAGGCCAGAGCTTTATTGCACACACGCACACACACACACACATGTTTGAATGGGTTGTGTGCAAGCAACAGCTGTTAATGTTTTGGTTTTTATTTGTTTACCGTTATTCGTGCAATCGAAGAAATCGAAAGTGATTTTTTCGATGGTTTTGTTTAACAAGATTTAGTTTTTTCTTAGCTTTAGTTTGTAAAAGCCTTTTTAAAAATAGGTGCCCATCATTTAAACTGTAAACATATAACTTCTGGAGTGCAATATTGACGGGGAAAAATCATTTAATTTTGGCGCTCTTTTCTCATTTGGTGTTTACACTTGGATACAATTTTATAGCAACACTTGTTTTGAATATATCTATCGTTTTGACTGCAACAAATGTCTTCTTAAATGAAATAATTTGCAATAACAATTTGGTGTTTACACCTATGTGAAATTTTATGGCAACACATCTTTGTGGGTAATTTTTTGTTGTGGATTTTTTTTATAATAAAAATTGAATGATTGAATGGTAGAATAAGGAAGGCAACATCGAACAATCAAATGTTTATATTTCTTGAAAAATAATACCTTTGTCAACATCTTACTATACAAAGTATATCAATAAATCTATGGTATAGTTGGTCTAATACACAAATCAGAGATGGGAACCTGTTTCCAAAGAAGCTAAATGTGTGTACTCTGTTCCAGAACTTCAATAATAAAAATATATTACTACGATAACCGATTTTTCCTTTATAATATCGAAGTAAGGAAAAGTCAATATTCGGGCGGATCCAATTATATGATACCCTACAAACGAACAAAAGAATTTATTTGAAGAAGATCATACCATTTATCAACATTTGCCTTTAGAACAGTTATAGTTTGATTTCAGAGGAAACTATTATATGGAGAGGACTAATATATGGAGGCTTATCCAATTCTGAGTTGATGGAGACATTTTAATCTTTTATACCAAATAACATTGCTATAGAGTGCATAATATCACTTCGAGATATGTATGTATCGGAGCCGAGTTTCACAAATGGAAATATATGTCCCGAAATTCGCTCCATATAGACTGAAATTCACCCCAAATAACGGTACAATAGACCTGAAATTGAATTAGGATATATATCCAAATCTTAGCCGATCTCGATAAAATTTGGTAGAGGTATTTCTGGGCTTTATCTGATATCATACAAAATTCGTATGGGGTGCATATTACGAATGTGGAGGACTTACACACCAAATCGCATGAAACATATATGTATGGAAGCTATAGCTCTACCGATTTTCTCCAAATTTGATGTACTTGCTCCTAGACTGAATTCGGTCAGATGTACCAAAACAATGCACAATCAACCCGAAATCGGTTGAAGATATATATGGGAGTTATATCCAAATCTGAATCGATCTTGATAAAATGTGACGGAGGTATTTCCGAGCTCTATAAGATATCTGGTACCAAATGTCATTGTTGTCGAATGCAAATGACGAATGTGAGGTACGACTTAAACATAGCTATATCTGAACCAATTTAACCAAGTTTTAGTTCTTGCTTGCTGCTAGACTGAATTCGGCCGGATGTGCCAAAATTCAGGTAATTTGGATTGATATTGGCCATTTAGTGCACAATTAACACGAAATCACTTGAAGATATATAGGAGCTCTATCTAAATCTGATCCGATTATCACCAATTTCAATAGGATTCGTGCTTGGGCCAAAACAAATATTGTTGGAAAATTTCATCTCAATTGGATAATAAATGCGACCTACATCGACGGACAGACGGACTAACAAGCATAAATCGACTCAGAAAGTGATTCTATAAAGATCCTCAAAAGTAACTATGGGTCTATCTCGGTTCCTTCTCCATGTTACAAACAAATGCACAAAGACATAATATTCTCCCCACTGTGTGATGTAGGGTATAAAAAGGTCCATGCAATAAAAAGGTAAGGCTTTATCAGTGAATATGTTGTTTACATATCTAGTGTCAATTTTTGCATATGTAGAAGTTGGACACATCGTGTGATACATGGACGACATTTCATTTGTGAAATACAAGGTACATACATTGGTATAAAAATATAGGTAGATGCATCAAGGCTTGGGAACATTGATATGTCAAAATTATTAAAATGTTTGTTTTTTTTTTTTTTTTTTTTTTTTTCAAAAATAAGTCGATTTTTATTCATTTATTCAATATTTTTCCTCATTTTTAAAATCAGATTAGCTGCTGGAAAAATGAATGGAATCCCGTGATTTTCTTTCAAAAATAAGATCCAAACAGTTCTATCTTTCAATTCCATGGTAAAACTGGCGAATAGCTTCAATGCGCGTCTAACGATTTACGCGTCTTCTAATCATTTATTTTGAAAATATTCCTTGTTTTATTTTTCAAAACAATAAATACATACACAAAATTGGCAGAAGTCGGGCGCACTTGCCCGACAATAAAAACAATAAATACATACACTTGTAATCAGCTGGTGGCTCTACCTTACCTTTTTATTGTGCCATGGTTGTAATGATATGCATTTTCAAAAATTGTTACAAACTTTGAAACATTTTTCATTAAAAATATGAAATATGGTTTAACAGTTCATTGTCCCAACAGCTGTGTTAATGCGACTACCTGTATTATTCTACCATAGAAAAATCATACTTTTTCGATCACAGCGAGCTCTGTTTCCATCGGAAAAGTATCATATAACCAAAAGCTCCTTTTTTTACGAAGAAGCCAGTCAATAACATAAGCCAGTCAAAAAAGAGTTTTATGTATTCTCACCAATTTTTCTTAAGACTTCTAACTTTTTTCCAAAAGCCAGAATTCGACTTCCACACCTTTCCTTAACCATACAAGATTCTATTTTATGTATGGTTTATATTTTTGGATTTCATGCCTCGCCGTTACTAATTTCAGTTTTTCATTGTCGGTATGGTTTTTATTTAATTCGGTTCGTTTAAAGATCTGCGTTCATATCAAAATGGCTTTATCTTCCGTTTAATAGTCGTTCCAGGGCGGAAATATTTTCGTCAGCACCATCCTTACATACAACGTGTTCTCCTAGAACCTATATCCAGCTTGGCTGGTAATATGCGGAGATTTTGTTAATATCCTGCAGAAAAATTCTCACTCTCTGCATATATTTCTTAATGTACGTTATGTAAGATTGAAATAAATATAAATGTATGTAAGCTTGAATATATAGTTATATTATTGATCCTCGTTTCAAAAGTAGTTTTTGTCCATTAAAAAAATAACTCTTCATATATCTGCAAATTTATATTTTTTAAACCAATATTCTTTAATGCGAACAAAACCAATAAGAAAATTTCCTTTCATGTTATAGAGAAGCTGTCCCCATACTCTTGACACATAGATACAAAAAGCATGTGCTCCACACAACAACCTGTGGATAACAGCATTTTATTTATATTCTTTTTGCGGCAGTGATGATATTTTTCACTCATTTTCTCTCTCCCTCTCTTTTTTTTTTTTTTCTTAAAAACCTACTCTCTCAATTCATTTTAGGCTACAACAAAAACGAAAGCTATTGTTTATTATGCTATGTGCGGTTATGTGCTATGCTGTAATACTGAATGCATTCTACTGGCGGCGTCAACGTCGCTGCTTTTGCCTACGCCAGCTCCGTTGCTACAAAGTGTATTGGGGCTTTTTACTGTTTCTTCTTCTTCGTCGTAACATAATTGTTGTTGCTTTCCTTTGTATCCATTAACTCTCACTTCTCTAAGACACTTTGGGTTTTTTGTTTGGTTTATTAAGCTCTGACACGGTTTGTTTGGAGTCGCGAGTGGATTGTTGTATCTCTTGGCGGCTTCGCTTGAATTGTGTGCCGTTTATTATTTTTTGGAGCTCCTCAGTTGTTGTTGTTGCTGCTGCTGTTGAGTCGTGGTGTTTGCTGGTTATCTGTGTCACGACAAACGAAAGCAAAAGTTATTTCTTTTTGGCTTCGATCACTTTTACTCTCGTTTTTGGTTTACGACGACGACAACGATGGCAATGGCGACGTCGTCGTCAGCAACGTCGGTTATCTGAGTTAACAATATTGGTGTGTGATTGTTGTTGTTGTTTTAGCTGCATTTTGGGGGGTTTGTTTTGTTTTACTGTTTATAACTGGAATGAATGGTTGGTTATAACTCTTTGCCGCCAATGTTGTAGCTGTTGCTGCCCGTATAAATATTTATTTGTGTGTAGGTATGTATGGTCTTTCGTTTTCGGTTTATAGCACAAAGCTGTTAATGTAGGGTCTTCGTTGGGTTTTTTCTGTTTCTTGCCGTTGCCGTTAGCTTAGAAAGATGGTTGGTTGTACTATTTTGTGATAACGTCATCATTTAGTTGTTTATTGTTCACTTTGTTGTTTCTCTCTTTCTTTACATTGATGATCATGTCATGCTGCTAATGAATATGTATGATAGGCGTGTGTGTGTGTATTTGTACTGTCACTTTTTTCTAACGTTGTGTGTTTTTATCGCTGTTTTTTCTTGTGGTAGGTATTATTTAATCGATTGTTGGAATTTGACAGATTGATTTTGATTTTCGTTTTATGTTTGTAGGTCAGTTAAGAATTTTGATTAGTTGACTTATCGCATAAAAGAAATTGTTGGAAAAGGTAATTTTTGGTATAGGAAGATTGGGAATGCCTCAATGCGAATAAATTAAATCATATTTAGAATGTGAAAATATGAACGAATAATTAAGGTCCATAGCGTGGCACGTGGATGGTATTTCA